CCTTGCTCCCGAAGGGATGAGACCAGTGGAGTATCTTAGATGGTTGCTCACAGGCTTTTAAGACCCCAGACACTACTCACCAAGGTAGAATGGAGAACATTGTCTTTATAAACCGTGTTATGCCAATTGAGCTAGATGTAGTGATTATTTTTGAACACCATAAACGTAACTGTGCTTGTTATGTCTTTACAACATGCTGAGTATATGTTAGCAAAACCTTTGTGGCGTAACTCATGAAAACACAAAATCCAGGGCCACCATCCTGAATTTGCATCCCGGCCCTGCCCCTCACCAGCTGTGAGACCTTGGGCAAGTAATTAAATCTTCTTCAACCTCCGTTTCCGCATCTGTCAGATGAACATAGTAATGGAATATGCATCTGAAGGTTGTTGTGAAGATTAAGTTAGCTGACCTAAAGCATTTAGTATGTTGTTGTTGTTAGGTGCCGTCAAGTCGGTTCCGACTCATAGTGACCCTATGTCTACAGAACGAAACACTGCCGGGTCCTCCTTCATGCTCACAGTCGTTGTTATGCTTGAGCCTGTTGTTGCAGCCATTGTGTCAATCCATCTCGTTGAGTATAGTGCCAGGCATATAGTAAGCACTAATAAGAGTTAGCCAGTGTAGCTATTAAAACACACACACACACACACACACACACACTTCCTGGCCTCTATCCCTCCCTCTTCTGAACACACACACACACATACACACACACACACACACACACACTTCCTGGCCTCTATCTCTCCCTCTTCTGAACACACACATACACACACACACACACACACACACACACTTCCTGGCCTCTATCCCTCCCTCTTCTGAAAATCCTCCCAAGGTCACCAGCAGCCAAGTCACCAATCCATTGGATTTATCAGTCCTGATCCTGCCTTTCCTCTGGAAGCCTAGCCCCCTGGCATTTGAAACCCTGGGCTGCTGTCTTCTTGCATCTTTCCCCCTTTGAGTGATCCTTGTGCTTGTGTATCCCAAGGCTCCTTGTTTGCCCTGTGGTTCTTCTTACTCTGCAGACTTTCTCCAGAGATTATATATGTACCTTCTAGACTTTTCTATCACTTCTTCAGAGAGCTTGTAAAACGCAAGCCCTGATCTCTTCCGAAGCTTTGATTCATCACCTGCTGTAATCAGTTTGAACACTGGAAGGTGGCTGAACTGTCGACACACCTTTCAGCCTGAGATCCGGTGATCGGGTGATCTCAAACAGCTCGCTTCACTGGTCTCTGTGTGCGTTTATTACCAGGGCGTGAAGCTTGAAATTGCCGTTTGAACCCAGTTCCCTCTCCAGGCTCTCCTATTTCTGTCCGTGACCTCAGGGAGTCGGGAATAAAACCTCAGAGTCATTCTGGAAACTCCCCTTGACCATATAGCAAGTGTCCATAGGTCATCGATGATATGGCTCCCAATTGCCTCCTCATTCCTGTTTCGCTCGCCATCGGCCTTACCCAAGTCCTCAGCATCTCCTGTCCGGTCCGTTTCATTAACCTTCTATTTGGTTTCACTCCTTCTAGTCTTTTTACCAATTCATCTGGTATCTTCTAGCCAGATTTCTTTTCCTAACCCCTCTTTGCCCTTGGGAATAAAGTCCCACTTCCCTGGCCTGGGTTTCAGGGTTTTCCTCAGTGGGCCCCGGGGCCCCTTATCTTCTGCTGCAGTCTTCCAGACCCTTCGACCTCAGCCAGACCAGCTTGTTGGTTGCTCCCGAACGTTGTTCATCCATGAACGCATGTGAAGTGCCCTCCTCTCGCCCCCAGCTGGCTCTGAGTCAGGCCTATCTACAGAGCTCAGCCCGGTGACCACCGCCCCCAGAACCTCTTCAGCCACTCCATCTTATGAAATGGCATTTGCCGTTTGCCAGGCACTATGCTAAGCCCTCTACGTACGTCACCTCATAATTCCCACCAGCCCTGTCGGGTAGGTTCCTGTGACCACCCCTTTGTTATGAGGAGACATGGGTACTGAAAGATTAAGGATCCTCTCCCTCCTCTGTGGACCTGGAGTAGCAACACTTTGTATTAATTGCTTATGCTGTTCTGTGTCTATGTCTGTGTTCTGCCTCTACCTTGAGTGCAGGATCTGGATATTATACTTCTTTGTAAATCCCAGTCCTTAGCACAGAGCTCTAGGGCAAGCAGTACCAGTAAGTTCTGTGATGCTTAGGATCGGAGAATCATAGTAGTACGCCTAGACGGGTTCCATTCACTTTCAGACGAGAACATCAAGGCCCAGAGAGGTTTTCCGGCGATCACCTAGCCGAGTGGTAACAGAGTGAGAAATCAGCCCCAGGAATTCTGAGTCTCAGCGCGTGGGTCTGCACCAGGATCTGGCCCCAGTGGGTACTTCTGCGATGGCTGCAGTAGCCCTGGCCCTCACTGCGCTGCCTGTGTGCTGAGCAGAGACAAGTCAGTCCGTCCTCCTGTCTCTCTCCAACAGGGCAGCCCCCCCTTTGTCTGGCAGAGACCCTGGGATGAAGTTTGATTGACTGAAGAGGACAGACCAGGTCCCTTTGAATTGTTTCCACTATTAGGAACCGCGGGGTACTTGGTGGCTGCGGGCTGTAATTAACGCCTGCCCCGAGCATTGTGTCCGGAGGCTTACCTCCCACTCAGTCTGGCTCAGGAGCCTTAAAATTGAGATCGGTCCGTTCTTCCGGGAGCCCAGAGCTAGGCTTGAGCTTCCTTTACAGAGTCCAGATACCAACCCATCGCAGCCTCTGCCCCAGCCCTCTTTTGGAAATCTAGGAATCAGACTAACCGCCAGATACAGCTTTGTTAATGGAGGAGCGCAGGGCATTGGGAACCTTTTAGCAGCTTTGGAACGCTCTCCCGCGGGACAAACGAGCCCTCTCTGTTGTTCTGTGATTGCCAGAATAATGTGTCCCCAGGTGTTCCAGGTGGGCAGAACATTATGCTAAGGCACAGTTTCTTCCCATCATGGTGCGCGCAGCTAATGACATCTGGGTGTTTAGCTTACTGGGGAGATGCGGCGCCAGCAGCTCAGCGCCATCTTCGTCTGTTCATTGCCCCCACAGCCGCCCAGAAGAGCCCTCGACCTGGAGCAGCTACATGGGAAAGGTGTTCATGGCTGCCACCAACTACCTCCCTGCCCAAGTGTCAGACATGATGAATCAGGACAGGGCCTTTGCCACCGGGCGTCTCAGTTTCTCCGGGCAGAGGAATATCTGCACGCTGTCAACGTATGTATGGCACCACCCTCTCTGAACAAGCATAAACTTCGAGAAGTGTATTTTCCCAAAGCACAAAATCCCTGGGCATGTAAAAAGAAAAGAAGGAGGCCAAACAGAAGGATGAACAGAATGGAAACCCTGTGGCCCGCAGTCTCCCCTCAGCGGCCTCTCCTGCCTGATTTTAATATGTATTCTCAGGGGCAGCAGAAGCTGGCGTGGGAATTTCCGTTATGATGACGTGGTCTAGAACCTGCAGGACAGTGTCAATTAGAAGTGGTGAGAGCGGTCACCCTTGTCTTATGCTAAATCCTATTTTTCTGTAATTATGAAAAAAGTCTGTAGTTCCATGGTCTAGGTTCAGGCATCTGTGGGGTTAATGGATGTTTTATTGAAGCTGATACTTTATCGAAGAAGTTTAAATATGAAAAACGTTTAAGAAAACTAACCAGCAATGATGCTGAGCTAAGTTTGCATTTTTGCCCTTTCTGCCACTTTTAAAGGCAGAGATGCATATAAGAGAAACCAAACCAGTTGCCGCCAAGTAGATTCCAACTCATGGCGACCCCATATGTTTCAGAGTAGAACTGTGCTCCATAGGGTTTGCAATGGCTGATTTTTGGAAGTTGATTGCCAGGCCTTTCTTCCAAGCTGCCTCTGGGTGAATTTTAACCTCCAGACTTTTGGTTAGCAGCCAAGTGCCTGAACCGTTTGCACCAGCCAGGGACTCCTAGCAGATAGAAACAACATCTCGTTTAGGTAAACTAAAGTTCTAGCTGGCGGTAGCTTTTCAAAGAATAATAGTGTCTACATACATTGCAATTATGTTCCTAGGCAAGAAATAATCCTTAAGGGAGATTGCTATGGCAGACCACAAACAAAGAGCCAGAAACCCAGACCCTGGGATCAGTGGGCTAAGGGCTTTGTTTGTGGCAGGAGAAGAAGTCGGTGACGGCTAGGGTGAGTGAAGTCTGACTGAAGGCAGTCCATTACCCATCTTTGTTGTACCCTCAGTTCACGTCTTCCTTGGCTCTTAGGATCCAGAAATTGCCAAGGCTGTTGGTTGCATCATCCAGTGGACACCTTTACATCTACAACTTGGACCCTCAGGATGGTGGAGAGTGCGTCTTAATCAAGACCCACAGGTGAAGGGGCTAGTTTTCAGAAAGAGCCTGTCAAGAGCTGGTCTTGTAGAGTTGTCACTTCTCCGAGAACAGTGACAAGTTCAGTGCGCCCGCTCTTTATTGCTTGGTCACCGGCGTCTCGGTGGCAAACCCGTGGTAGGCGTCTGCTTTGTGGGGGCCCCACGTCAGGTGCCACGATGAGTAACCTTCAAAAGGTAATGTGACCTCTACTCCCAGTACAGTTCCTAGCACATAATGGGTGCTCAGAATGTTTACTGAATTGAACCCAAAAGGGCTCACGGCTTCCACGACACAGTGCAGGGTGACCGCTTTTCCTGCTGTGGGCAGGACATCATGCGGTGCCCACTGTCCCTCCCCTGTGGATGCCCTCCTTGTTAGCATGTCTTAGTGCCCTTGCCGAGTGTACCAGGAATAGCCACGGACCAGTCGTCACTTATTAAATAAAGAGAAATGGGTCATTTTGAAGCTGAGTGCTTGCCTCCCGGTAACGAAAGGTCACTTGGGTTCATACTGACCTAGTAGCGTCCTGATGGGTCTATAATTTAAACTCGTGTGGCCAAGCGCGTGCTTCCTAGTGCATTTCCTTTTGAAGGTGTTCTGGATGTGTGATGATTTCTTTCTTTCTTTCCCCCCCTCTTAATTGCTGTAATTAGCTTGCTTGGCTCAGAAACAACAGAAGAGAATAAAGAAAATGACCTCAGACCTTCATTACCTCAGTCTTACGCAGCAACTGTAGCCAGACCCAGCACATCTTCAGCCTCCACGGTGCCAGGTGAGCGGATGCAGGGCCTGTCTCCCTTCGTTGTCGTTGTGGATGTGCTCTCCCTGATTGAGCTGTTTCCTCACAAGTGAGACCACGGTCAAAAAAAAACAACCAGTTGCTGTTGAGTTGATCCCGACTCATGGCGACCCCGTGTGTTTCAGAGTAGAACTGCACTCCACAGGGTTTTCAGTGACTATAATCTTCTGGAAATAGATCTGCCAGGCCTTTCTTCCACACGCCACCGGGTGGTTTCAAACCTCCAACCCCTCAGTTAGTAGTTGCGCCATCCAGGGAGCTGAGGCCGTGGTAATAGTCTTTAAACTTGGGTCCTTAAAGATGGCAGGCATAGCACAAGTTGATAATTTCCGTAACAAGTAACTCTAACCCGTTGCCTCCGTGAGAATTCCAAAGAGGTGTAAAACTTTAGGCATGGCGCGGGGGAAAGGCTGGCCCACCCGCCGGTCAGAGGCTCTGAGGCCATACATGGTGGTGGATCTGGACTCATCTAAAGCACGGTCACTCGAGTTCAAAGACTGCCTCCACGGTTTTCTCTGATTCGCCCTGTTCTCCGAGGTCCCACTCTGGGTCATGGCTTAAGAACAGACACACGGCTTCTTTCATTTCTGGCATTTCTCATTCTTGGTTTCCAGGTTATTCTGAGGACGGCGGGGCGCTCCGAGGAGAGGTTATTCCTGAACACGAGTTTGCCACGGGACCAGTGTGTCTTGATGATGAGAATGAATTCCCCCCTGTGAGCATTAGGAATCCGTAAAAGAGCAGCTCAGTCTGTATGCTTAGAAGAAAGCCTTCACCTCGTACACGAGGCGAAGCGACTTTCCCTGTTACGTAGTCTGTAACGGCTAATCCTCTTCACTAATACCGAGAAAGCCACAGAAGGTTGATTGTACCGTGTGCTTCAGATCCTGCAGTCGAGCCATTAGGCGTCATGCTAAACCCTGACAGCATTAGAATAACCAAGTACTAATCCAGGGAGCCCTTGACTGGCCTCTTGCATTCAGAGGCCTGAAATCCTTTACTTTTGCTTCTCTAGCGCCATCTCTGCTGCTCCTAAGGTAGGCACGTATGCCTGGGTAAAACTCTGCTTTTCCTGGGCTCCTAAGGACGCTTTTGTGGAATGCTGCCTTCGTGGTGCTGAAGGTGAGGCTTTTTCAGGGCTAGGCTGTGTGTGCAGGACTCCAAGCCTGGGCTGCTGCCCTCTGCAGGCAAGCTCAGCTTCACCCCTCCCCAGCCTGTCTTGGGCAGAACGCTCCAGCAGCAGCAGCGACACTCATTCAAGAACAGTCGTGGAGCCACATGTTTGAGCTCACCTGGGCACCTCAGGCTGGCTGCTCAGCATCCTGCCCCAGCTGTTCTGGCAGGAGGGGCCCATGGTTGGCTGAGCACTAGGCTTGGCTTCTTCCAGCGTCTGAGACTGCAAAGAAGGATGGCTGCCGGGGCCGCCTTAGCTTCTGATTCTTCAGGCTTCCATTTGAAGCAACATACAGGTCCCTCCTGTGAGCTTCAGCTAGAAAACACCCCCGACAGTCAACTTGCAGTCATTTAGAGTGGAGGCAGCATTTCGGCCACGGCTTGGAGAGCCAGCTGAGCTGAGTCTCCCAGAGCCAGAGAGAGGTAGCTCTGGTAGGTCTTGCTTGCAGTGTTTTCTCCTGCTGATTGTTTTGTGTTGGTGGGATTCCGTTTGCATAAGGCTGGAGCGCAGGGCTGGCTTTTTCTCCCACAGATCCATGGGGCAGTCTAGTAAGCAGATTTGGCTCAAAAAGCTGGTGTGAGGCCCTCTCCTTCTACAGTCAACCGTTTGTGTGTGAAGAGCGGTGCGGAGCTGTATTTCCCCTGGCGTCATCTGAGGCTGAGCTTTACATCTCGGGCTTCTCATAGATAGGTTGCCAAATACATTGCCAGCAAGTGAAGTTTATTTTTTCAGTGGTGGGGTGCAGTGGCTATTAAAAATACTAATTATAAATTAACAAACGGCTGCTGGCTTGCTGCCCAATTATAAACCAATGAAAACTTTGGGTTCTTTTGGCCCCAGTGAGCCATAAAGAATATTTCTGAGTCCCCAGAAGTTGGTGGTTATTTGCCTGAAGGTGCGTCATCCCAGAACCAGAGCTCTCTAAGTCAGACACAGTGGGGAGGAACGTGACCAGCCTACTCTGCCGAGGCTTAGCGCCTTCAGACACTCATTAGGTTCCATTTCAGTAATTTTGGTAAAAGTCTGTGATTGCTCTAACAGAGTATTAGAGTCTTAATTATCTTGTTAATTGCCATCTAAGTAAACCTCACAGCCTCTTATATTTGCAGAATGGGGGTGCTATGGCTGTTTGCATTTACGAGGTGGTTTCTTGCCAAAGAAAACCTGTATAAAAAGAATAGGCACCTGGGTAAACTATTTGTTGGGGAAAAAGAAACTGGAGATGCTCAAGAACTAGTGCTAAAAATTGCCCCGCGGCCTGTTCATGCGCACACAGCCAGGAAGCTGGGGGAGCACCAGTTCTCCTAGCTCCCTCTCAAGGACCAAATGAGTGAACACTGGTTTAAATTGCTTCGGGGATTTTTTACTTATATGTAAGGAATACTTCCTGCCAGCAAGATTGTTGGTCACTGAACAAGGGTCCCTAGAATGGTGGTTTAAAAAAAAAAAAGTTGTCAGTGAGTCGATCCTGACTCATGGCAACCCACGTGTTGCAGAGTAGAACTGCACTCCATAGGGTTTTCAAGGCTGTGACCTTTCAGAAGCAGAGTGCCTAACCCTTTTTCCAAGGTGCCTCTGGGCGGTTTGGTTTGAACCTTCAACCTTTCAGTCGAGCACTTAACCCTTTTACACTACCCAGAGCCTCTAGAATGGTCCTCAGACATTAGCAAGTTGGGCGGCCCCTATGAGCGAAGCCCGGTGCTGGCATTATGGAGGTCATGGAAGGGACCAAAAACCCCAGCCCTGCCCTCAAGCCTGCAGCTTAGATGGTGAGGAGAGAAGCAGTGCTCCGGTACAGTACTGGCTCAGGAACAGGCAGGCCGCCTCCTCTCACCACAGAAATACCAGAGCATGAGACCTTCTGGGATGGCCCCTCCATGTGGACATCTCATGAAAGTCCTTATGGACAGAAATGTTAAAGCTGAGATGCTAGAAAACGTCCTCTCTCTGTCTTTATTCTGAATTCATGCCTATTGCAAACACTAGTGTAGGATTCACATTTTTAATCACAGTCTTTAAAAACGCCGGGGATTGCGAAAGGAATTCGGAGTCCTGGCTTGGTAAAAATCACTTCTCTTAAACAGATATGAGCACAAGCTGCTGGATAACCTGCATAGGGCTCAGATACAACAAATCCTACCTGAACCTTTGCCTCAAGAACGTGGGTTAACATGTTGTTGTTGTGTGCCGTCGAGTCAATTCTGACTCATAGTGACCCTATAGGAGAGAGCAGAACTGTCCCATAGGGTGTCCTATACTGGGATCGTTACAGAAGCTGACTGCCACATCTCTCTCCCACAGAGCGGCTGGTGGGTTGGGTTGGCAGCCAAGCACTTAACCACTGTGCCACCAGGGCTCCTTGGGTTGTCACGATCCACCTTTTTTAAATAGACTGACATTCTCCTGATATGATCACTCATCTCTTTGGGATGTACTTTGCTGCAAGAACAGTGAATAAAAAAAAAGAGAGAGAATTGATCATTTCTGGTACCTGAGAAAGATGTTGTATTCAGGCGGGTAAGGAGTTTTCATTTCAGTACCAAGCCATCCTGTACAAGTCTGTGTGTTTTCCGAGCATCGTCTTCATCTTGTGACCAGGAGTAAGGGAATTGGCACCAAAGGTATTTACTGACTTCATTAAAAATGAGTTAGTAATCTGTGTTTACACGTAAGATGAGCCTTTTTTGAAAAAGTATATATATAAACACACACACGTTGGAGATAGAGTATTTTCTGAAACTGCACCATACTAGTCTACACCTGAGTAAGCTGGGTGGCTCTCCTGTAGTCATGAGTGTGGGTCCGTCTGTGGTCACACGGACAAGAGGCACCCAGCCTCTCCCTGCTGACCCCACCTGGGACAGATCTGTTGCTAACACAGCCTTCCTAACAGCCTCTTCCCGGAAAGAGTAAGGCTGTTCTGTTTTGATTTTGGTAGATAATCTTGTGCCGTGGAAGTCAGAAGGGCAAAACGAAGCAATCATGATGAGCAGCACACTTCAGAAATCAGGACATCCCCTGTCAGGTGGTTCTGGAGAAAACGAGGTGGAAGAATGGCGTGCGCTTGTGTGAACAGAAAGGGGGGCAGGCATGGCGGGTGCACCGTGGCCTAACCACAGGACCTGGTGAACTGTCACCAAACACTCCTCAGCCCTGTTGCCAGCAGGCACAGCAGACATGTGTACACTCATGCTGTTTAAAATACGTTAAAACCATAGTGTGAATGCTAACTAACCGTATTGGTATATAACCAGAATTTTCTATTAAAAAGGGCATCCTTTTTAAATGTATGCTATGTAAAAATGTACTTGTAAGAAAATCTCTTTTAATTATGTTTCTTGTACATTACATACATATATAAAGAGAGAAAGTATTTTAGCCAGGCAAAGTATTTTTGCAGTGATTGGAATAAATCATGTATTACCTTTGCGTCCCTTTCAGGACACTAATAATAAAATCATGGCAATGCATTGTTGATTTTTTTAAAATTATTTTTATTTTATTCCTTTGAAGGCTTAAAAGGAAAACAGACCCCTAAAATCTTTAGAATAGTCATCTGACCTTTAAAAGGGGGGAGGGCGTGGCCTTGTCCGTGACCTCATC